GGGATACTTGATAGAAGGCTAATTGTCAGGAACATTCTAAATGAACTTAGTGATGGAACTTATTAATATCATAATGCTCTTATCTACGAAATATTTTCAAAGAACAAGCAATGTTTGTTAATTTTGGTATATAAGTAGAGTTTCGAGACTACCAGTCAATCAGTTATGTGATTTGTATTCACCCTATTTCGTTTAAGGTGATGAAGGACTAGTAGTAGAATTTTCCCACAATTATATGAGTAGAGCTGACGTTTCCATTTAATTTCACATAGCCTTGCTTTCCTAAAAGTTGTCCTCATCCAGGCACCAGTGGACTTCGATTTCGACCTCGCATCGGTCTTATCAACTCCCTAGCGGGAGGCCAACCGTGACAGTGAAGCAGGTGAGCTTAAGACGTTTACCACTCGGCCACATTGTTAAGGGTGCCCTTTGGTCACAGGGCAGATGCAAAGTTCAAGGGAGGCCAGTCCATTTCCCATATCACATTCTTTGGTGGGATTGTCGATTAAGCAAACGTATTTTTGCTATAACAATCGACAACGCTACCAATAAATTAAGTAATGTGGTCGATTGCTATAGCAAAAATACGTCTTCTTCATCGAAAATCCCACCAAAGAAAGTGATATGGGAAAAGGCCTGACCTTTCTTGAAATTCGCATCTGCCCTGTAGCCAAATAGACTCGTGGCAATGGGGTTGAGTAGTTAACCTGTCAAGCTCGTATGCTGCACTGTCACGGTTCGACTCCCGCTGGAAGTGTTGATAAGACCCATGCGAGCTCTAAACTGCAGTCCATCCTGGATGAGAACATCTTTTGAGAATGCAAGGATATCTGAAATTCAATTGAAACGTCAACTATACTCATATAATTATGGGAAAATTATACTACCAGTCCTTCATCACCTCAAACGAAATAGAGTGAATACATCTCAAACAGACATTTTTTTGTTAATACTTTTTCACAATATGTAAGTTTAATGGAATCAAGATATGAAGAACAAGATGTTATGGCCTCTGGTATGGTCGCAATCTCCTTTCGATTTATAGAAGTGGGTTTAACTCGCTGTCGCAACTTTGTCTTGTTGTCACGGGGACTTAGTAGAAAGAAACCTAGTTCGAAGTCGTCTGCCATAGTAGTTGTCATGATTCCCAGCAGCTGTCAGTGGACCTGGTACATTCTCAAACGTTTCGCCCGCATCGTAGTCGGCATCATCAGTAAGTTTTGCCATTCTCCGCACCAAGCTACGAATTTTCTCTTCCATGTGGTCAAAGTGCGACGTAAGCATCCAGTTACCGCATGAGCACTGCCGATTGTAGCAGTGCCATCTTGAAGTTCTCTTCTATTTTGTTCATGCATACGTTTGCCAAATGTGGTGAGAGCGGCGATCCTATGGGAAGTTTAACTATTTTTGTATAGGTGTTCCCGTTAAATGTAAAATAGGTTGTACCTATTGTCAAGTTTATTAGTCTTGTTAACGACTCCCTACCGATCCGGTGTGATTCCAGGATATCCTCCTCTCGGTCCAGCATCGAAACTTACCAATAAGTCCGTTTCTTCCAGTGTCATGTTTTTGATTTTTTGAGAAGATTTATATGAATATTTTACCCTGTTTGATAGCCTCTCATTTAATTTTTTCAGTTTAAAACATATACACTTTGCCAATTTGTGTGTTGCTTCATACTTTTTGTTGACTATCAGCCTAACCGGCCGCCTTCTTTGTGTATCTTCGGTAATCCGTATGCTGTTGCTGGTCGTGCACTCTTTCTCATGATTGAATTTATTTTCCATGCGTTAATTTCCCCATTCCTATGCATATATTTCAGCATGTCACTGAAGGTTCCATTGATCTTCATATTTGGGTCCTTGTTTAATATACGATAAGTAGTCCTGTCTGATAGAATATGTTCCATCTGCTCGGTATATTGTTTTTTGTCCATTATAACTCTAGCTCCTCCTTTGTCCTCCTGAAGGACTAATTGTTCATTCGTTTCCAGGGTTTTGCGTATTCCGGCAAATATGTTCCTATTTGTGGGTTCCTGATGTGTCCAGTTCTTTTGAATTAGTTCCATCTCCATTTCCCGTTTTGTCTCCTCAGGGAACTTGTCGGCGATATTGATAAGCTCCACCAGGATGTCTCCTAGAAGGGTTCTGTGATGATGAATCAAAAAATTGAGTCCTTTTTCCAGGAACGCAGTTGTTTCGGGATTGAGAGGAATTGATGATAAGTTAAATACTTGATTTCTATCGCCGTGCTGATCATTAAGTGTTGTACCTCGGAAGCCACTTTAAATGGGCGTACTGACTTTAACTTAAGCTGTCTAAAAATCACAAACTTACGCAATTTATCGTCATGCCGCTTTGTTATAAAGTCATAAATCCTACGTGATTTCCTGTCGGTCATGCTCTGAAGTTTTTGAAAATCTTCCGGAGACAGGATTTTGGTCAAATCCCGCGGGATCTTTGACTTAATATCTGTAAACTTAAACAACTTATAAGGTTCAGTATCATAGGTCTCACTTAGTTTCTGTATAGAAGCCTGGTGGAGATACTCATTAAACTTATCCAAGTGGAAGGGTCTTTTAAGGTCACAGATGGAACAAATTATACGAGACAGGACCACATATCGTATGCTATACAAAGACCCGACTATGAAGATAAATGGAATCTTAAGTGCCATGCTGAAAGGTATGCATAGGAACGGGAAATTGACATATAGACAAGAAATTCAATCATACGAAAATATTCACGACCACCAACAGCCTACGGATTACCAAAGATACACAAAGAAGGCAGCCACTAAGGCTGATAGTCAACAACAAGTATGGAGTAACACACAAATTGGCTTGAAACCCAAGAAATCAAATGAGAGGCTATCAAACACGGTGAAATATTCATATGAATTTTCTCAAAAAAACAAAAACATGGCACTGGAAGAAACGGACTTATTGGTAAGTTTCGATGCAGAATCCATGAATACAAATATCTCCGGAGAAAATGAGCTAACGGCTGTGCTGGAAATGTTGTACCGAGAGGAGGATATCATGGAATCACAACGGATCGTTAGGGAGTCGTTAACAATAAGGACCACCTATTTTACATGTAACGGGAACATCTATAAAAAAATAGTTAACCTTCCCATAGGATCGCCGCTCTCACCCATTTGGCAAACATATGCATGAACAAAATAAAAGAGAACTTCAAGATGGCACCGCTACAACCGGCAGTGCTCATGCGGTACCTGGAGTATTACTTCGCACTTTGACCACATGAAAGAGAAAAACTGGAAGATTTGCTGAAGTTTGCAAATCAAATTGATGAAAAAATTCAATTAACGATGGGAGTAAAAGAAGTTGGGCGGTTACCGTTCCTGGACGTTGAAGTGATTCGCTCTAATGGGTCGCTCAAAAAGAAATAGTTCAGAAAAAAGTTTTATACGAGGATAATAAATCATTTGCAGTTTCATCACAATTACATGCCAAAGATATGTATAAGGAGCAGCATAATCATCCGAAGCCTACGCTTAGCGGATGTAGAATTATAGGACAT